TGCCTCACCTAAAAGTGGGACTAAAGCACACCGAACGCGCTCTGCCACGATCGGTCCGGGCGTGGGCAGACGCAGGGCGTGCCTGAGCCCTGGAGTGACCCACTCCTCTCATTTCGAGTTCTCTTGAAGGAGAGTGGATGGAGCCTGGTTTGGCCAACATCTGCTCGGGACGTCCCCAACATCTGCCTGTTTTGGCTCAATGTCTGGCCTGGTTTGGCCGCGCGCCCCCGCCCGAGAGACACCCTCGACCTCTGCCTGGCGTGGCACCTGGTTTGGCCCGGGACTTGCCCGGGTTCGCGCGAGGCGTCCTCGACAGTTGCTTAGTTCTGCCCTGCTTCGGCTTGGTGCTGGCCCAGTTTGACTGGAGACGTCCTCAGAATGTGCTTGGGTTGGCCAGGTTTGGGCGCAGGTTCGCTCGAGACGGCCTCGCAACTTTGCCTGATCCAGCCTGGGCGAAGAGAAACATCCGCGAAGGCATGCATGGTCGAGTAATACCCGTCATGGGCGCCACGTGGTCTCAACGCACGGTGGGATGTGTCACGTTTTTTTCCGCACAGAATGGATAATTGACAGACGTCGTGGTGGGCGTGGGCAAATTGAATCAATGGCACGTGTTCATAAACTTGTGGTCCACATGTAACGCAATAGCGCTACAAAAAGGCGGGCGGCATCGGCGTGGGCATTCCCGACACTCTTTCTGAATCGGCGTGGGTGTGCGCGGCGGCGTTGGGGGAAACAGATCCAAGGCTGTGGAGTACGCGTGCAGAGAGGGACAGAAAGAGAAAGAGAGAGAGAGAGAGAGAACAACAAAACAGAAGAGAGAGAGGGAGATAGAGAACAAGACGAGAGAGAGGGGGGACAAAGAGAAGGAGAGAGAGGGAGAGAGAGGAAGGCAGGCGTGCCCAGGGGGGCAAAAGTTTGGTTGCGACCGAGATGGTGACGGAGCTGTGGCGCGTGACGGGGTGACGACCAGACACACGAGAGTCGCAGGCCGAGGCACGCAGACGGCGACGTGGGGAGCAGAGGCCAGGGCACGGGCACCCGGCCAGGGCTCGTCTCGATTCCTACGGTTCGGTTCGATCCGACTTTGATGGCCTCCGATTCCGATTGGATCCGATTTGGGCTTCCGATTTTGGGATCCGATTTCTCGTTGGAGGCCTACGAACTGGCCGATTCCCGCCGATTCGACTTTTACCGACTCGGTTGCCGATTTCCGCCGATCCGATTCATTTCGATCGCCGATCTATTCGATTCTGGGGGGATCCAGCGCCGATCCCAGAAATCCGAGTGGACCTCAGAGTTCTCATGTTTATGTCATCGTCTGCTCCCCCAGGGTTAGATACCGGCACCGCCATCCTTCCCTCGTCACCAAGTTTGGTTTCCCCTCGAGATTCCGTTCCGAGCGCACCCCCGGAGAGGCCCGTGGAGTGGCAGTATGGGTACACGCCTCGTGGTTGTACCCCATGGGCCCCCATCTTTCCGCGCCACCTCCTCCAGACGCCTCGGCCCGTGAGTCGCCGAGCGCGTTCCACTACTCGCAAAGTGCCTACTCGCAAACGTCCGAAAAACACCTGTCTGCTTTGACATAATTTCTCGTAGATCCCCCGCGGCGGATCCAGGCCATGTGCGAGTAGTGGAAGGCGCTCGTCGAGTGAGGGCCTCTGTTGCCCGAGGCAGGGCGGACTCGCCCCCCGCTGCGACGAGACTGCAGCGCCCAGACCTCCGGGGCACCGCGAGGCGGCCTTCGGAGCGGCCTCCGAGCCGAGCCCCTTCGACACGTCGCCCCGCCTGAAGGCCGCCGCCCCGGCCGCCGCGGCCCGCGGCCCGCGCCGCCGTGCCGTGGGTCTAGGCCTCCAAGATGGGGTCGGAGTAGAAGGATCGTGCCACATCGCCGATGCATCGCCGATGCGGCTCGATGTGGGGCCCACTTCTCTCCACGCCGACGTCACCGATGCATCGCCGACGCCGGCAGTGCATCGCCGATGCATCGGCGATGCATCGCCGATGTATCGGCGATGCGGCGCGATCCTACGACCCCGTCTACTCCGGCCCCATCTAGGAGGCCTCTAGTGGGACAGGCTTGAATCGGGCCTGTCCCTCTACAGGAGGAGTATTCAAAGATAGTCAACAAGTAGTCAGGGGACGATGTTTCGATCATTTTGTTGCCGATGTTTGAATATTGTTTGGCTACTCCAGATCCCTTATTAATCGTCTCCCGGGTCCGGTTTTTTTAAGACGTCTTTTTTGTAACCGGGGGGGGTCCGGTTTACTCGGGCGTTCTCTTTGGATTGGAGCTTAGGGGGGTCCGTTTATCGAGGCGCCCCGTCGAAGAAGGGGATCCGGAATATCAGGTCGCATTTGGAGGGGTCCAGTTTTTCAGGGGGGGCCGATTCGTAAGGGATTTGGAGTATGTATCCGTTTTCTTCGTCCAGAATCCCTTTGTAGGGAGGACATTCAGGAGAAGAAAAAACACACAGACACAATTCATCGTCGATTTCCCAGAAAACATGGGAAAATATGGGAAGTGGGGGGAAGACGAAAACCCAGAAAATATGGGAAAATATGGGGAATGCTGTTATTTGTGTGTGTATTTATTTGTGTGTCCCAGGGCCCCTTCAGACATGCCCGACCTGAGGGCAGGCCCGTGCCGCGCCGGGGCGGCGCCGGCGCCGGCGCGGGGGTTCTCACGGGCTGGAAGGCCACCAGCGGCCCGAGTGACAGGTGGGCCGGCCGAGAGCCTCCCGGAGCGACCTCCGCTGCCGGCTAGCGTACAAACACACACACACACCTCTCTCTCTCTCTCTCTCTTTGTGTTAATTGTTTCTCTCTCTCTCTCTCTTTCTTTTTTTTTTTTCTCTCTCTCTCTCTCTATATATATATATAGACACGTACATGCATACATACATACAGTTGTATATACATACACACGCATCCACACATCTACACACATATACACATACACGCAGATATACAAACAAATAAGCAAATATGCACACATATACATATACATGTATATACAGACGTATGTATTCATGTATATTTATATATATACACACGTACCTAAACGACCACCCTTCGGGTGATACGGAGGTTGGGGCGCTGTGGGGAAGGAACCAGCTACTGACACATGCGACGGGTGTGATGCTGACGAGGCTGGTGACGCGCCCTCGAGTAGCGACGACGCGTGATAACGATGCTGCGATGAGTTGTAATGTGTCTATCTTCCCCGCTTTCGATCTCACTCGATCGTTCCCACGATCGACCTCACGGGATCGATCACACTTAATGGGTCTCAAAATCTATATCACGATCGATCTCACTGTAGATCTCAGTACGGATCTCGCTGTCGGTAGCACTATCGATCTCACTATCGATCTCACTAACGATTCCTCTTATCGATCTCACTATCGATCCCACGATCGATCTCACAACCAATGTCACAATCAACCTCACCTTCCCCTCCATCCCACCCATCCCATTCCCTACCCATCCCATTCTAGCAATATCAGTATCGATCTCTTTGTTTACTTCACTATCGATACCAAGGCGGGCCCCCCCCCGGCAACCGCCCAACCACCGCCGACGGAACACCGACGGGTCACCAACAGGACACCAACAGGACACCACAGGACCCCACGGCGGGGCGGTCCACTGCACCCGAATCGCCCTAACGACTGCTTAGTCATTCCTCTCACGCGCCCGCGCAGCTTCGCCTCGCCCGCACGCGCGACACGAACACGACACCGACACCTATTGTTCGGTGGGGGGCTGTCCGTTCCACTGCGATCTTACCCTCAACCTCCGATATTCCTATTTATATATTTTTACGGGGCCAGGGACCCCCCGCACCGTACGAATTTCGACCACCCCGGGCACCCAATACGGTCCCATAGAAATCCAAAACGGTTCCAAGACGGCCCAAGAGCGCTCCAAGATTGCCTCAGATGGCTCCGCGACAGTTCAAGAGACTCCCAAAACGCCCGGAAAGGCCCCCAAGTAACTCCAAGATGGCCCAGGAGGCCCCCACCAACATGCCCCGAAGAGCCCCACGAAAACAACAAGCAAGCCAAAATCGTTTCATTCCTTCGGTAAGACGTACATGTATAGCCATATTCGCTGTGTTGTTTTCCAAGGCTCCAGAACGGTTCAAGAGAAGCCCCAAATCGCCCCAAAACGGATCCAGAGGCCCCCACAGAGCCCTTAAGAGGGTCCCAAGTCTTAAGACAGCCCCAGAGAGCCCCACGACGGCCCACGAGAGCCCCGAGACGGCCCAAGACGGCCCCAACAGGCTCCCGAGAAAGCCCCACGACAACCCCAAGACGCCCCCAGCAGAGCCCCACGACAGCCAGAGCCCCCCCACGTAACAGGGACTCGCCTCCCAGTCCGTTCGTGCTTCCCCGCGCAGTGCTCACGACTGCTCCAGAAGCTGGGACCCCAAGGGGTCGGCGGAGTCGGACCTATTAGTTGGATCCCTACACATGCGACAGTTCCAGTTCCCCAGTCAGTGCTTGCATTGAAGGGGTCCTCGCGAATGCTGAAGGATTTGGCGAAAGTGCCCCGCCGATTGTGGTCGCACGCTGGGTTCCCGGGTTCCCGGGTTCCCGCTTCCGGGTTTCCGGGTTCCGGGTTCCCGGGTTCTTGGCCGATCTTTTTATCGATCGGTCTCACCCCATCGATCTCGTTACCGATTTCTCGGTCGATCTCACCATCGATCTCACAATCGATATCAATATCAATCTCACAAGCGATCTCTTTAGAGAACGCATGAGCGATCTCGCGATCGATCTCATTATCGATCTCATTGACTCGGTCCCACGATCGACCTTACAATCGTCCTCATTATCGATTCCACGATCGATCTCGTTATCGATCTCATCATCGATCTCAAGATGCACAGCATCAATTTTCAAGCCATCCACTGATTGGGGTTTTCTCATGTGTAATTCTTCACATGGGGCTGTGCCTGGTTTTCCTCTCACACGGATGGCGTTGCATCATTACCTTGCACAAAATCACGTGTGCATGATGTTTGATTTGGTTTATCCCACGAGTGGTGTTGTCTGAATATGCAACCCGACGAAGATAGCTCTTCGTTGGCAACTTGTCATTATTATATGATTGCCGTCGGGTGATAAAACCTTGCGCGCCTTGCATAGCATGCGCTGGAAGATGGAGCGCAGCACTGGGCTCAGGGAAGCGCTGAGGCATCAACTAGCACACCAGAAGCCCCATAAAGCTCTCGCGAGATTCCCGGAACTCCCTCTAAGGACGGGGCCACGCATTCAAATTTGAAAATGGTAGCAAGGATGCGTTCGCAAACGACGAGTGCAAATGGAGAAACATGAGGGGCAGGTGATCTATACCGACTTGCAACAACGATCTTTTTTTGTCCCTCTCTCTCTCTCTCTTTCTCTCCTTCCCTCTTGCCTGCTGCTCGAGATCGGCTCGTCTCTCGCCCGAGAAAGGGGATCTAGGGACCAGCAACAGCCACTGCGAGCTTCTAAGGCTCGCCGAGCCAGCACGGCACAGAGACAGAGCAGAGGGTAATTCCGCTTGGCCCCAGTGGAACAGGGGATCACCTGATCATCAGCTCATCCCAGACCTTAGGCACCTTGCTGTTTTTACCATCTGCAGCACACCCTAGGCCCAGATCCCTTCCTTGGGGTGGCCCTCCCGTCCCCATACCCTCTCTCTGGCTGCGCCGGGATCCTGGGGGTGACCCCCCGCGGCGCCGAGCGTGCAGAAGGGAGGCAGCACTGGGGGGCTGCTGAAAGTGCCCCTCGCCCAAGGTGCTCCAGCTGTTCGCTCAGTCTTGGAGCCCCTGGGGCCCTTTGGGCCTCGTGAGGGGTACCTCTAGGCCTCCCAGATGGTGTCGGAGCAGATGGGGTCGGAAAATCGCGCCGCATCGCCGATGCATCGCCGATGCGCCTCGATGTGGAGCCCCATTTGATTCACGTCGACGTCGCCGATGCATCACCGATGTCGACGTTGCATCGCCGATGCATCGCCGATGCACCGCCGATGTATCGGCGAGGCGGCGCGATCCGTTGACCCCATCTACCCCGACCCCATCTAGGAGGCCTCTAGTACAGAGGAGGCCCATGCCAAGAAACACCCTGCTTGCCTTCACAGGGTGCCCTGGGTTTGGGCTTCGATGGTTCTGCTAAGGAAAGGGTGACGCTCCCACGCCAAAAATCAGTGCGCGTGCTGGGGTCTCAGGGTTGGGTGTTCTTGTGGAAAGTCTTCCATGGACTGACCTCCACTGCACCCTGGGGGCCGTGGGGGCCTCGTTGGACATCCTGGGGGCACTTTTGAGCAGCAGCCGAAGCACTGGATGGGACCCCAGGGTCCAGGTGGCGTCCCCCCCAATCGAGGCCCAGGTTGGAGGCAAGGCAGCACCGGAGGGGAGCGACGAGGTTGGCCGAGGCCAGGGGGCCATAACCTCCGACGCCGCGATCTTGTTCGCAGCGTGGACCCGCGGGCCCTTCCCCCCCCCCAACGCTTCCCCCCCCGAAGAGGAGATCACGAAAGAGAGGGACGATCGACGAGGACCCTGGAGGAAGATCGAGCAAGAGGGAGAGGTGGAGGAGGAGGAGGAGGAGGAGGAGGAGGAGGAGGAGGAGGAGGAGGAGGAGGAGGAGGAGGAGGGTTCAGGATGGACGTGAAAAGGGGGGATCCCAGGGCAGTATCGAGGAGGATGATGATGGAGGATCCAGGAGGAGGACGAGGAGGATCGCAGAGGAGGACCCCGGACCCACAGGAGGACTGAGCAATGTCAGCTTGTGAATTTCACA